CAGGCACGGTGTGAGTAAGCACCCAACTCATTGAGCAGACACAAAATACTATGTTTAGACAAAAACAATAATTATTTTCACATGCATGGGCTAGCAATGCCATTGGCGTTCTGACTGGTTTACAAAAAAACCTTGTTATGGGTATTTAACTATTTAAACAACTGAAATCCTTAACAATAATGACATTACACAGCATCTACACCATTTACAGCTGCAGAGAGTATCCTACAGAAAATGAAATGCTTCACATAATTACATTTGACTGTCAGGTGAGAGGAGCAGAATAAGCAGCTCCTGGAGATATGCAGGTATGTGAAGCAAGGGTAAACATTAAAGCCATAACGACACCTGTAAGAATCCTCTTCTATGTGTTTGGTGGTTAAAAGTTATAATTAGATGGCCTGTGCAGTGGGATTGCAACGCCATCTGGGACCATCTGAGATCACACAGAAGATGAATAGCAACAGTTTCCTCATCTCACCACAGACTTTGTTATGCATACCAATGGGCAGATAACTGCACATTTCCGAATGTTTTCTAAAAGCTCACATTCAAATATCTCACATAAGAAAAATCAAGGAAAGAGCAGTGATATTTTGAGCTGTCAGCGTGTAATAAACCGAGGATTGGCAACCTTTACTGACTGCTGGTCTAAAATATCCTAAATTGAGAAAATAAAAAATTATCATGCAGCTATAATGCAGACTCTAGTGGGTTGATTCTGTAACTCATTGAATCACTTATAAAGCTGCAGTGATTGATTAATTTGTCAAAATACAGAAATTCCAATTTCTACAGTGAATATTTTCTGCCTCTGGTACACTAAACTGAACATGTTTGAGGAATGGATTAAACAAGGCTTTATAGCATGATATCTTTGCCTTTGAGAAACACTTACCCATTTTTTTTACCATTTATGACAGTTGATAGACCAATGAATAAACTGATTAATTAAGACGATAATCAGCATATTAAATACAATTACATGTCATAGCTGGTTGCAGTGCTTATGTAATCGTATTATTACGAAAACACAGAGTTAAATATCAAAATGCAGGTAAAGACCACCTTTAACCTTTTTCTTGAAACCTAATAAAATGAAGGTAAGCCACTACTATGTAAATATATCCCGTGTTGCAAAACAATAAACGCTGAGTCAATTATCTGTGCTTTTACTGTTGCTGCTAATGCTTAGTTTTAGTCATTACCAGTGACATTAACAGAACACTGGCATCCTAAAGGTTCAGCCGTTGAATTCCAACATCCTTCACTCATTAGTCTTTCCACTTATTCCTCTAAAGACGTCTTCGGCTCTTGCCCTCCAGGAGCATTTTGACTCTTTAATGAGTTTTGTGGGTTTTTTTAAGCTTAGGTGGTAAAAATATAATTAAGAGTACTTGGTACATTTAGGTAATGGCTACCTTCTAACATATGTTGATACAGAACAAGAGCAAAGATGTCAAAAGGTCTTGACAAAGCAAATTGCCTTGGCCAATTTTAACAGAATTTGGACTTTAGTTGTTAATCACAAAGTGGAGTTGGAGAAAAAAGTTCCACCGCTTACAGAAAAGGTTGTATAATCAAAAGCAGGCGGCCCCTGGCTTTCTAGGAGGTCCTTTAGAATAAATGACACACAAAACGGATTAACATTTGACCTTTCAATGTCATCCATATTCAGCACTTCACTCAACAGCACAAACATGCTTTGAAGGAAAAACAACAAATCACACAAGGTGTGGGATAAAAATAGCTGTTATATGGTGGTGCAGGCCATTTTTAGGCTGTGCGCCTGTTTCCACTTTCCCCATTGCAGGGGTGCCCTGTAAAACATTGGTGTAAATGGTTTATAATGCCACCAGTGGACTCTGAAATGGGAGACCTGGTTTCAATCAGCAGTCAAATTGCTCCTACATTACGGTCGCAGACAGAGTAGTAAATCACTCTTTGCCTCTATGCTGCTGACGTAAAGGAACAAGCATTGTTAAAACTCCGCCAAGCGTGCTACTGAGAGCACCCTGTCACTGTGTGAGGGTGGGATGCTAAACAGGACAATAGCAGTTACTTGTCTCTACAGACGGAAGAGTTCTTGGACAACCTGATGTCTAGGAAGAAAATCTACAAACTGAGTATCTGCCATGGGATGTGTTGACAACAGATAGAGACCTTATTTGCAGCTTTAGGCCCCTGTAACTTCCAAAAAGCTTCATTACAACCAGTTTGAACCAGTTTGCCTGTTTTAAAAGAGTTCTTGGTTTCTCTGTGCCAACGCCCCAACAGTGGGCCAGTGAAGCATCTCAGAGCACTTATAATCCCCTATAAAGCTTAGAAATGCTGATCCCGCCCACCACAGACCAACACACTTTGGGCAGAACCTCTCATTAGAACTCCAGGGCCCTGAAATTACAAAGATTTACCCATATGGAAAGCATGAGAAAGCGTCAGCTGGGAGAGGGTTGTGCCAAGTGGTTTTCCAGCGTGTGGTCACAGAGGAGCTGGTTTTGCTTTAACAGTGCCGTTCAGACTGCCCCCCCCCCCCCCTGCCAGGGAGTACTGGCATTTGAGGATTCAGGAAGCTGAGGCAGATGCTCTGGCAAGTAGCCCCACACAAGGCCAGCGAGGAAATACCCACCAGGACAGGGACGTAGCCAGGTCAAAAAAACACAACCGCATTAAAAATGTATAGTAAATCAATGTTGAGGTAGAAAACATAATCAATTTCACCTGAGTTTGGGTTCTTTATACCACAGCTGACAAACCACAAAACAAACGTTCCAGTGTCAGTAAGCTGATGCTTGCTAATTGCTTCCGTGCAGCCCAGTATTAGACAACTATGAATGCCTGGTAGATGACGTCACCTGCTTTCTTTCACAGGCACTCTTTCAAGAAATCCCAAGAAATCATTCACCAAACAAACGGTTGACTCTCCTGGCAAGGAACAAAAGAAGAAAGCAAAGTAATGATCCAATGCAGGCCAACCTGTAATCCTCCAGGAGTCATGAAGATTAGGTCACGTGAATCATTTATGTTTTGAAGTGGTTGGAGTACAAAGCAGGCCTAACAGCTTGCACTAATGTTTAAATATTCAGTAAATACCACTAGTGCTTAAATCACGGCAGAGAAGCATAAACACATTTTACAGACAACACCAAAAAATTAAAGATTCATTGTAAAAAAAAACGTTTTAAAAGCACACAAAATGAAGGAATAAACAGGAAAATCAGCCAGAAGAAACACAGAGCAGCTCCTCTACAACATGTTGCCACCATGATTGAGGAAAACCTAAATGCTTCAGCAGCATGGGACATAACAGCACTGTCAACGCAGGTTTTAAATAACAGATATACCAACCAAATCACAGCAGGTACCTCAACAGCGTGCATGCAAACATAACAAAAAGGAGTCATCTTTGGTACGAAAGAAATACAGTGAGTGCACCTATATATGCACGCTATCTCTGGGGTCGACAGGACAGCTGACATGCAAAAAAAAAGATATGAATTGATGGACTGCATGCCTAGAAACTAATGCATAGTGCATAGTAAATAAGACAGAAGAGTATGATATAACCCTGAATTTAAAACACAAACACAGCATCACATTATTTTCAGTAGGCGGGAGCCAAGAGTTAGACACCCAAACATGCAGCGAGGCCTATAGGATTCATTTGCAGAAAGCCTCTGATGCAATTCCAGGAAACTAACCCACCCTGTATCATCCTGTTACAGTTTGGCTCGTGGTTATGGTCTCTTCTTTGTGTCTGCGACAGCAATAATCAGGTTTATATATTGATAATTGGTGGCCATGGAGCTACCCCAGCTTGTCAAACTTGCATGCAATCCTTTGTTTAAATAAATCAAACAGGGGCAGTGGGCTTGATGCAGTGCTGAGGGTCTTTCCTCCCCTTATTTAACACCTATTCAAGGCATGCACAAGGTTACAGGTTACTATACATTACGGTTCATATGTTAAGGCAGACGATTCTCGACAATTTCATTATCTTGTAAAAAAAAAAAATAGATATATTTGCAAGGAGCAGCTGCATGCTATGTAACCTGTCTGCGCAGACACTGCTGCAGCAATAGTGTTTTTTTTAAGGGCAGATGAATAACATAAACACGTCACGACAGGAGCTTCTAAAACTGATGGGCATCCAAGAAGTCAAATACCTGTCTGTGAAAAGGATAACTAAAGGAAGAAAAAAAGGAAATATTTGGTATGCCGGGGGGGCGCTCTAACATGAAGTAAGAAAACCCACACGTAAAGGTTAAACATGTTTAATATGAGGTCCGATAAAAGGAACAATTCCTCACATTGCAATTCAGACACAGAAATAGGGTGACGACAGGCTCACGCCCCACGGACCACCGCTGCTCCTATTTATATTTCATTTCTGATTCTCGACAGATTTTCTGCTTGATTGAAGCTCTCATCCCTCCGCAGACTACACAGCAGCGACGTCAATGTCGCTCACTGAAAAGTGCCAGCAGTCAGTTTATTGGCCAACTCGGCGCAGGTTTGTTTATCGAAAATCACTTGCGAAATAATTAATCTGCTTCTAACCCAGTCACCTTTAATTTCTGTGGACATTTGGGTCTGAACGGAAGACAGCATTTGGCTTCGAGTGTCTTCCACCAAAGCAGACGAAATATCTGCAGCTCTCATTTCGTGTCGGGTAGCCTAAAAGTTGTCAGTGTATTCGTTTAGAGTTTGCATAAATAAACACAGCAACAAAGTGTGTGTGTGTGTGTGTGTGTGTGTGTGTGTGTGTGTGTGCGTGCGTGGCTGGTCGAAGATCGTCTATTCCAGACGGGGCTGAATTACAATATTTAACCGTGAACGTTTCACATTTCATGCCATTTTCAAAGTATCCCCAGCTCGCAAAGCACAGTCAACAAACACATACTGTTTCAAAAATGTTCAATAAGTTAGCAAACGACAGCGCTAAAAGCTTCGTCTTTAAGTTTAAAAATAATAATAAAAAAAGATAACGGAGCACTTACTGAATCTCCTCTTTGTCGCCGCCGTTTGCATTTCTCTCCTTCCCTGAACCCGCTAAACGTTTAGTCCTGTCTCCACTTTGCAGCAAGCGCAAATTCCACTTCATGTGATTAACAAAATACAAGCGTTAAGGTAGAACCAGCCCGGAGAGTAAAATAAGAGAGAGAGAGAGAGAGAGAGAGAGAGAGGGGGAAAAGGGAGTCCAGTGGCAGCCCAGAGGAACACGAGGTCCTATCCCGGCCAGTCGACCGGGGGTCGTGGTGGATACTGGATCTATTCGTGTCTCACCGCTAACGGGTTCACGTCAGCACCGCTCAAGTGTCGCTGCCTGCACGCAAAGAAGCCGAGAACAAATGTTTATTTCCTCTCTTGCAAGTAAATCTCTTCTTCGTCTTCTTCTTCGTCTCATGCAAGTTTATTCGTTTAAGGACAAGTCCGTACGTACACAGGTTCCCCTCAAAAAAAAAAACAGAAGGAGCTGTGGCAGGTTAGGGAGCTGCTGCTGCTCCGTCTCTCCCTCCACAGTCACGCTTCTCTCTCTGCCTCTGTGGAAGACAACACACACACACAGACACACACACACACACACGCACACACACACACACACACATACACACACAGGTCGGTCAGCAGGATTTTCGGATCCACTCGGCTACACTCGCCGCTGTGTCCATTCATCCCAGCCTTCTCAGGTCCTGCAAGACACGACGGGATACCAAACCTGCCATTTTTATTCCTCTGTTTACACTTTGCACCTGCTAAACCCGACATGAACATGCTATGAGGAAGGTGATATGGGGCATAACTTTGTGGTCTGGGATTTACTCTGTGTAAGTAAGGGAAGACCTCTTAATACACTCTCTTATTATAACAGATGAATAAAACATAATCTTGATCTTCCTTGGAAGCCCTTCGAGCAATTCCAGGTGGTTTAGTGAAGTTGTGATGATGCTTTGCCATATTATCCAAAAGCTAAATTTGACAAACATTAGAATGGACATATTGGACGAAATGCAATGAGTAGGCTATTTCATGTTTTTTTTCCTAATACATTGTATTGGTATATCTACAGGTCCTTTTTGAACAAACAATAATGGTGTTTTAGACTGATGTTGGAACATGTCAGACCATTTAGGAGGCTACAACATCTTCCATTTATTTGCTTGAAAGCAACAAATGAAAAAATATCCAGCACCAATTGGCAGCCAGTGACAATTGCAGCAGTGTTTGGACCTCCCAACCTTTACCTTTCCTTTTTTCTTTTTTTTTTTTACATAGATCTGCTAATGAACAAGGAAACTTTACTTAAAGTTATCATTAATACACACAATCTGTTTTGAGTTATTAAAGGTTATGAAATGTTTTATTTCATATAAAATAGCTTGATAAAAATAGCTAATTCCAAAAAAATCTTAAAGAATGTGCTACTTTTGGATCCTCTACATCGCCCTTGAGCACCAGCATGAAACCAAAACAAACTGCTGTTAAGCGACACCTCCGCTCTCCTCCAGCAGCAACACACCTCCAACCCCTCTCCTCTCGTGTTCTCATGAAGGGAGTTATCAATTAGAACGCCCCATAATTAGGCACCATTAAGCACAAGTGGCGGACAAAATTGTCCTTTGATCGAGCTAAAATTGCCTGTGGCCTTGCATTCTTGTGTTAGCAGGCTAACGTTAGCACACTTTGGTTAACTCATAGCTTCATAAATTGACACATAATGACAGTGATCTAAAGACACTTAAGTAACATCCAAATAAGCAGAGTGAGTATGTTCTTCTTTTCTCTAGTCCTTAACTAAAACAGCTTTAGACGCAAGGTCGTCCCGTCCATGTAAACATGATGTAAACACCAGCCAACATAATAATACAGCTGGGACTCATACTTCTCTCTCATGACTCAGAGTGACATTTACAGAGGGTATACTTCATTTCTGCTGTAAATTTAGATACACTTTGATGTTACCAGGTTCCAATTCTTTGTTGTAAAGCAACAATGTCATAAATCTAAAGCAGCTGTGGCAAACTCAGTCACTGCAGGTAATTTCTTTTCTCTTTTAACACTATGCAAATGCTTAAAAATACAGACAATATGCCTGGAAACCAGGATGTAGATGATTCTGGATTATTAAGAATATATGAAGCTACTGCAGGAGTCAGCCCATTTTAAATATAGACTTCTTATTACAGTCTCTCATTATAAAAGTGGGAATAAGGTATTCCTCATTTTCCTGGAGAGCCCCTCCAGCTAACCCAGGTGGTCCCCAGGCCCCACTCTTGAAGCCTCTGCCATAACCAAAATCATGAATCATCACTGTGAATAGAAAATGTATAAATACCACCCTATTATGCCCATTTTCTACAGCAAATACAAAGGATCTACAGCACCCACTCCTCATCCTCCTTGCTCTAACCTTGCAAAAGCCCAGGACTGTTATTCATAATTTATTAGCACAGCCCAACTTTCTGGCTTTTCACAGGTACTCGAAATTGTTTTTTTTAAAGACAGCCTTGGGAAAAGGTTGTAGGAAATATTCCCCACAGTTCAGTGACACACAAGCATGTTAAACAAGCTGACTCTGACAAGGAACACTGCAATGATTTTGCAACTTGAACACATATGAATATTGAAAAAGATACCCAAGCGTACAATACCTTCAGCTTAACTGTAAAATCCACATAAGTGCTGCAGTATAACAATTATTCTCTTTGCATTGTTGTCATGATAATCATTATATGAACAAATTGGAAATCAATGTAATCAATTCAATGTCTACAGCCAAGATTCTTCGTTAGCTGTAATTAACTACAAAAAGAAGAAAATCTCCATATTTAAGAAGCTGGAATCAGCAATTTGTTTACTTTTTTGCTTGAGAAATCATGTAAACAATTGAGCTATTATCAAAATAGTGTGCCAATTAATTTCCACAGATTCAAGTTTCTGTTTGGCGCCCCCTGTTGACAAAGCTGTACCTCATATCTCTTCGCTTACTCTGTCCTGTACATCTGTAAGTAGTGTTTTTTAAACAAAAGTATATCTCATTGAGATTATTTGCCATGGAAATGTAAGCAAAGTTTCTGAAACTCTAGAAAGTTTGTGTTTTTCAAACCAAAAATATCTTTCAAATGTGTCACTCATTGGGAATATTTCCATGGAAATGACAACAAAAGCTGTTTCAGCCGCATGCTGTTAATCACTTTGTCTAACGAAGATCGAGTGGCAGCAGTTTCAGATATTAAAAATAAATATATAGAAATACTCAGTTTTTTTTCCGATGTGCTTGTTTTATTTTGTAGGTCAAATATGAGCATCAGTATTAATTTCAGTCTTTTCATAACCATCTGAAAACTCCTCACAGAACTTTAAGTAATCGTTTAATCATTTCAGCTCTGGATAGTATCACAGATACTCTAAATCTTGATTTTCAATTTACAATAATAATAAAGGGACAGTCAAGGACACATTTTGGAAGTGAGATTTTGTTAGCAGCGCAAGTGTAAAGGGGACTAATAAGAGGACTCTGCTTACAGTGCAGCTTGACTGTTAGTGCATGAGCACTCAAGCGACTCGGTTGAACGTGCAGGGCATGAACACCGTGACCCCCAGTAATGAGGACCCGAATATCTTTAGGATTCTGACAACCCATCTACTCCGCCTTCTAACCTTACCATGATCAATCGTTAGCCTGGCAGAACTCCTGCTGAACTGCAGACCGCCTCTTCTCCAGCACACCCTCCTCATGACTGGTGCACAAGACGTTTAAACAAGGCTTAACATTTCCATAAATGTCTCTTGCTACTGGGCAATCAGGTTGCTTCTTTATTCACCCAAACACTGGCACATCTACTCGATAATATAAACGAGTTGCCATGCTCCCGCACAGCGACTGAAAAGGACCTCTGTTCCTTTTAGCCTACAAATGATAACCTTGGAGAGAGCCCAAGGATCCAGGAATAGGATCCTGTCAGACAATAAAAGGCCAAGCCAGTGCTGCTACACTCAAAGGAAGGCCTTTGTTAACATACAACAACCATCAATATGTAAGGTGCCAGACCGAGGAATTGGTGCATGTGCTTAATAATGCTGTTAGGTATCTCTGGTGGCCAAAACTGAGCCTGTTTTTCAGCTCTGGTCATCTCATGTGGACAGACCTGTAAACAACCTCTGCCAGTGAAGGTCAAAGAATATGTCTAGTGTTGTTTTTTTGTAGCTGTGTTGCATAAGACTCCTTCAAGGGCAACCACGCTTTATAGTTGCCGGATGTTGTGCAAAAGCACCCAAAAAATAACATGTTCTCTACCCTGAGCACCTGAGAAAAACATGTTTTAATGCTGCAGTCCTGGTCCTCTACAATACTTCCATCCAATCAGGTTTCATTAATTCTACTCAGTTACAATAATGGAACTCTGCTGCTTTTTTCGAATGTTACATGAATGAAAGTAGGACATATAAAGTCCTAAGCCCATTTTTTTTCAGTCAATTTAACATCTTATATCAATCGAAGTACTGGAACAAAAACTCCCACTCTAAACTACGTCCTGCTCTTAATTATTGCTGCAATTTGCAGTAAATGGTTGACTAAATTACTGTGAATCCAAAAGGGTCTGAGGTACCGAATCTGCCTCTAACCATAACTCTCCTGGAACATAGCTTCATCCATGGATCCCTCTATCAGCTGTTCCTCCTTATTAATTTCTTTATTGAACTCTATGGGGAAATTAGTTGGTTGGAATTACTTGTAAAAGGATTCATTTCTATCATGAAGCCCCTCAGTCTGTACACGATGGTTTAAAGGCTGAATTTAATATTGGTGCAGTAAGTTTTCGGTCGGTGATCCATGTCAAAAAGAACCATTAAAAAGTGAATACAGACTATTTGAGAGTATATAAAGTGTATATTGTAAAGGAAACTTGTGCTGCGAAGAAATGAAACCAAAGTTTAGAATTTCTTCTTAAGATTAAGCATATTGTGATGATGTGTCAAAGCAAATGTTGTCATTTGCTGTATCGTTCCAGATTTTGCTTCCCCATGGCAGGTTATATGAACATGGCATTTTCATTATCTCCCTCTGGAGCAGCAAACTCCCAAAACAACAAGAAGCCACAGTCAGGGCTACTTCCTTTTTGCATTACAATTGATATGTTAAAGTCATTGAAAAAACTGCATGTAGATTCGGATGTTAGCCCCTCTTCGTACATATTGGAACAGGTTCAGGTTCAATTGCACAATCTGGAAAATCACATTTACATCATCTTAAGCGGTACCCATGGCAATAAGAAGTAATTGCAGACATCAGCCACAGTTATTGTTTCGCTGGCAGACCGAAGCAGCATACACACTCTAAACACTGAATTTGTCGTGTTAGCTCTGCCTTCCACTCTCTGCTGGACCGACCAATGCAAGGTGATGAAAACTCTTCACAAAGGCCAGCTCAGACTACACAAGGTTAAAAATTCTAACAGATTTAGAAATCAGGTTGCATCATGCACAAAGCGA